ACAAAACTGTAGTTAAGAGTATTTCACAGAATACAGAGATGGTAGATATTCCACACAAAACATTTGTCTCTAAAGATGAAATCTTCTAATAAACTAACACATCTGAGACTTCAGATGTAAGAACAATTAAGCAGTGTATTAGAAGATTCAGTTGTAAGAGATGTTAAAACACTGGTTTTTGGGAGGCAATTTTTTATATTCAATGTAAAAAATATGGAATATTTGAAATAAAATATTCTATGTATATAAACTTTCTTGAATAAAAGGACCACATGAACTAGAAAAAATAATGTTAAGTGCTTAAATGTTACACAGCTAATTTTGTTAATTTGTAAACTACTGCCTGCAATACCTGTTTTAAACACTAGGTTTTATGGGCTTATTTTTTCATACCTACCAATCACACAAATGCAAAAAAAAACCACAAAAACCCTTCTTTATTTAAAAAAAAAGAGAGAGAGAGAGAGAGAGAGAAAAGCACACAGCACACAATTTTATTTATAGCCTAGGACCTACACAGTTTAAGGTTGAGAATACATCTGTCCTACTGCTGCACAAAAGTTTTTGAGAATCAATTGGAAAAATAAACAGGTAACTGCAAATTTGAGAATCATATTACTCTGCTTCCAAAATGCAGTAGCATCCAAACCAGAAATATATACATAGGTTTAAAAAAGTCACATGCACATGTGTATATATTTATATCCAGCCCTCAAACAGAATCAAGTCCACAAAGAATCATAGTATGGGAAGTCCAAACAAGTTTTTCCATTCTGCAATACTACCCTACAAAACCCAATGTAAGAAGATTATTTTTAAAACAAACTGAAATGCATGTAATAGCCACAGTTTTTATTCCACACATAGTCCATAAACATGTGCCTGCAAAGGGCTGTTCAAGTACCTAAACCAAGTGCTCAAAACAGACAGTATGAATGAAATACAGCTTTGTGTCTACCCTGTATTAAATGCTACCAGATATCTCCAGCCTGTTGCAGCTTCCCTTATTTTGCCTCAAAGTAGCGACATCACAGAGGGAATTAAATGACAAAACCACAAAAAAGCAGAAAGTTAGAGCTTACGCAGCACTGAGCTTCTGTTAGCACCAGCACAAGAATTTTGCTGACTGCAGTAGTCATTAAACTTGGACCCCTGTATTTCAAGCTGGATGAATGCCATCACCTTTTATTATGAACAAAAGACAGCGAGTCTGAAAAAAGATCAACAATACTACTCCAAATATATAAAAATATTCTCTCGGTTTTAGGATATTGTTGACTGCAATGTTCTTTAATTAGATTCAATTTCTGATCTCATTTAACTATACTGCTGAGAGCTAGAAAGCTCTCTTCCAAGAACTTAAAGGGGAATCATCTAGAAGACTACAGGTGTGGCAAATAGTTTTTTTTTTTTTTTTTTTTTAAGTAGGAATACCAAGCTACAAGAGTACCACAAATTATTAAATTGTTATTTCATTTTGCTTCTTTTTCCTGTGCTTTCCTTATGCTTTTCCTCTTCATTGTCCTTTCCTTTTAGGGTATTGATTTATTGTTCATGCCCTTGTTAAAGCAAATCCCCAAAACTATCTACTTCACATCTTTTCTAAACTTTTGCCTTACTTACTATACATCTTTAATAGCATAAAACAGTAACACACTTGGATCTGTACAAAATATACATACATACAATATATATACATACTAAATGATATTTGCTCTTAAACATCAAAGAAAAGCTTATTTGTGGCATTGCGCATAACAGCTTCCACTACGCAACTAGAAAAAGAAAAACTGAGAAATTCAGCTGCAGAAGTTTTCAGTTAGCACAGTTTCCTAGGGCAGTTTGAGCCTTTTAATGTAGTGTTTACAAGAACTAAAATGCACATTACACACCTTTGTGAAACTTGATGCATAGTGATGATTGTTATTGTTAGGAAACTGCAGATATGGGTATACTTCGTAAATGCAATGAATCAAGTTAGTATTATTTCTTGTAAGGTTCCCATGACTGTATTTCCTGCACAGGTTTGGGACTGTCACACCCAAAGTCATTTTTTAGACCAAACTTTGTGTAGTGCATGTTTCAGGAACTGGGCAAAATCAGTGTACATTACTCCTACGCAGAAGTTTGCAGAGCATAATATTAAGTGATTAGAGACAAGTCATACCAGAATGCACCTTGTGAGACACCAAGCTGGGAAAGTAGGATTTTCTGCTGAATTAAAGAACTATTCAGAAACTAGTCAGTATGAGACCCTGGTCCATTAAAGTAATGCTAGCATCTCCAAAACAGAGGAAAGCAACCCATTATGTATCTGAATAATTGACAGACTCCTCACAGAAACCTGGAAAACCTCTACAAGAAGGAAATGACAAATGCAGTTTTGAATGATAACTGCAGAGAACCCCGAGGAAGAGACTGCTTCTGCCAACTCTTATGTCATGGTAGTGATTCTACCTGGTAAACACACGCTGGGAGGTAATGCAAGAAGGAAGGCCAGAGTTGTAGTTGATAGCTGTGATCAAAATCATTCTATCACCCAAAACAAGACTAACGAAAAATGGGGAAGAAAAATATTTGAAGTTACTTGCGAACACTAGGAAATTATATCTCAAAAGATGTAATAACTGATACAGACTAGACACTGGACTACTTGTATAACTTGAGGCAAAACATTTCTTTAAGAAACCCAAAAGGTTAAGAAAATATTCCTTTCTACAGGCCAAGCTAAGAACTGGTAACGCAGAAGTCAGCAAAACCTGAGCAGTACTAAAAAGGGAAGCCTGCTGACATCTAATGAGGCAACTGCTACCAAGCATCTCTTGCTAGAATATCAGACTTTGACGCATGCATCCCAGAGCAGAGTTATACTAGTTTAAACAACACTATTTTAATTGTTTTTCCCTGTTTGTCTGGAAAGAGACACCAAAGATAATAAAATCTAGTATCGTTACATGATGAGGAATCGCACATGTCAAAGATACCTCCTCCACTGTACACCTCACTAAACAGCAGTCTTCATTGCTTTTCAATAAACCAACAGACACTGAAGTAAAATAGGAAGAACAAAAAATCTTTCTGTATTAAATTGTTCCTACCTGGTGATACTGATTTAATAGTTCCCATTCAAATTTTTCCACAGAAAAAAATTGATGTGAGGAAATAACAAACTTGAACTCAAAATGCTACACATCACCAAAAATAATTGAGAAAGTCAGCAACATTTCAAATCCATAATATAATGGGAGCAATAGCAGAAAAGCCATTACAAAGTTTTGGATTAGTGCTGAACTTCCCATCTGAGCTTCATCCTGTTTGTTATAATTTCTTTTCTCAAACTAGACATCAGTATAATTTTTACTGAAATGCTTGCCACTGTGTATTTTGCATCACTCAGACAATGATACATTATGCCTTTTAAACACCAGAAAGAATGGAACAAGTACCTAGAAGCTAGCAGACATTTTGTAAGAGTGGTGGTAAAACAAAAACACAAAATAAAACAGCAACCAAATTACTTCTCCCCTCTCACCCCTCCCCTCCCCCCAAAACAGCACTTCCTAAAATGATTTATCATTAAAAAAATTCTAATGCTGCAAGTGGCTCATCTATTTCAATTCCTCCTGGCCAATACTAATTGAACAGTTTTAACATTCATGAACAGATCTTTAATTGAAACGATCGTAGGTGTTAATTTTTAATAAAGGTGGTATTAATTAGCTGAGTTTTAAACAAGATTTTTTGTAAGCACAATTTAAAACACATTTTCAAGGAACATGATTTCATTTATTCTCTATTTCATTTATTAGTATTAATTTATTTGTTTCATTTATTACTATTCATTTCATTTATTCTTTTTCAAGAAAAAATAAGAATAAATATTTTTTTCAAGAAAAAAAGAATAAATTCAAGAAAAAGAATAAATGATATAACATACTATTTAAGTATTACTGCTGATGATCAAACATTTATTTTCTAATCTTTCTCCCAGTCTATGCATTGAATGCGTTTTCTCAACACAGAATAAATATTTCCTTTCATGGAAGGCTGGATCAAGACTTACAAGATTTATCAGAGATCTCTGCAATACAGCCATGTAAGATAGATGATTAAGTAATGCTGATATTTCAATAACACCAAAATAGGATGCAAATATTTCAACTCTGTCACCTGTGAAGCACACCTCCAGAATCTCACCAGTGTAATGTAATAATCATAATTTAATAGGAAAAGTTGGTTATTTTCCTTTACCTTTCTTATACATGCATAACCCTCCCTCATCAATGTCATAGGTGAATACTTTAAAGGAAGCAAATGGAATTCACTTTGATTCCAGTGGGACTTAGAGCACGCTCAGTAATTTTGCCAATGACACCAAGCTGTGTTGACATGCTGGAGGAAAGGGATGCCATCCAGAGGGACCTGGACAGGGTGAACATCAGGAAGTTCAACAAGGCCAAGTGCAAGGCCCTGTACTTGGGCTGGAGCAATCCCAAGAACAAAGAAAGGCCAGGCCATTATTAACAGCAGCCCTGAGGACCTGGGGGTGTTGGTTGATGAGAAGCTCAGAAGGGGACAACAGCATGTGCTTGCAGCCCAGAAAGCCAACCGCATCCTGGGCTGCATCAAAAGAAGCATGGCTAACAGGTCAAGGGAGGTGATTCTCCCCCCTCAGCTCTGCTCTCATGAGACCCCACCTGGAGCCCTGTGTTCAGCTCTGGGACAACCAACATAAGAAGCACAGAATACAGAATTTAAGTGCTCCTCTGCCATCCCCCTGGCAGAAAATAAACAGATTATTGCCCTTCACCATCCACCTATTCTGTGGGGGATCAGTAAGGCTTAGAACAGATTCTGTACAAGGCAAGCCCAAGCTAATAATAAGCAGTCTACAATTGCTCTCAAGAACTATAAGTGTTGCTACGTAGAATTTCTGTGCATTTATCCTTAGGTGAGCTATTTTAGAATACGCAAGGTAAGTTTGAATCCCTCTGCTACCTTTCATGAGGATATATATGTAGTCCCAAAGCTGGGAAAAAATCCTTTCCAAGTTTTCCAGTTGCAGAGTAGTAATTCCAGTCCAAAGGGACCTCTGGAGGTCACCTGGTCCCATCCCTTGCTCAGAGCAGAGCTGATGGTAGGTTAGCTCAGGTCGAAGGAATCTTGGACAGCCCCCAGGACAGCAGTCCCACCCTCACTGAGAAACCTTATCCACTGGTCTGACCACCCACCCACATCTAACTGGAGCTTTCCTTGTTGCAGCTGCTGCTATCTGATGCTTCTCATCCTTCCTCTCCACACCTCGGAGAAGCACCTAGTTCCACCTTCTCTGTAACTTATTAGGCAGCTGAAGACAGCAAAGTCTCTTCTCCAGCTTCCTTTCCTTAACCTCTCTACCTGTACACCACATGCCCCAGCCTCCTGCTCAACCATCCTTCTTGCATTAGGGAACCCCAAACTGGGCACTGTTCTTGAGATGAGGTTTCTTGAGAACTGGAGGGTATGAACGTCTCCTGTCCTGGCCCTGCAGTCTGCGCTCCTGCTGGTGCAACCCAGAGTGCAGTTGGCCTTCTTCACCGCAAGGGCACACTGCTGACTAATGATCCACTTGCTGCACTATCAGTCTGGGTCAGGCTTAAGTCATTATTCCTGTCTGTGACAGATAAGATTTTTTCCTCAAGTCATCATGAGACTAGAAATGTCTACAGCCAGCAACATCTTGCCCCCAGTGTGGCCTTTCTGTTGTTAAGAAGAATATCTAAGGTAGGTTTTTGTGTTCCATCACTGATATCTGAAATCCAGCAAGCAAATAGAAACTTCAAAAACTTGACCTTTTATTTATTTATTTATTTATTGAGCTAGATGTTTAAGACTGACAGCTGTGGTAAGGCAAGTTTTAAAACTTTTTTTTTTTTTTAATCTAGAATTTGATTTTTAGCCTTCTTCCCTCCATCTTACATCTCTCAAAGCTGTTCAAACATTCAGAAGTAGCAGTAGTTTATGCACTGAAAAAAATTAATTTTGTCTTCTGTCCACAAAATACTACTTCAGTAGGGAATTTACTTCCTCTTAATCATGGCCTAAGTTCAACCTTACCTGTAGTAGACATATTCTGATTAAACAAGAGAAAATTTTCAGAGAACTGTACTACATTTATTACTCTATTCATATAGAATAATTTATTATTTTTTATTAGGAATTTCAGCTTGCTTGATCTATGCGGAAAAGAATTCTGCTTAGCACTTCATCATCAAGCCTGCTCAGTGTGCAATATAGTCTTCACACAGTCAGATCAGATACCCTGTTCCGCTCTTGATCTAAATATTAATTCTAAATTTAGCTTAATTTGACATTTGTTAGCTAAAAGAGTACCATATGGACACTAATGTGCAAAAAAGCTTCCTTCTTGAGTGGACATATACTCTTGAATAATTTACTGACATAATTTGATCTGGGAGGATACTGCCAGAAGCATTAGAGTGAGCTTCAATGACCATCCCTCTCATCTCGGTGTTTCTGTTTCAAGTATTTGTGCATGGGGTGGAGAGCAGCTGTAGGGGGGAGTATCTGCATTGCATAACAGCTGAAGAGAAACACAAGCAACTCTTACCCCCAACTCCAATACAAATCTGTCACAAAATATTTAATTTAAATTTATTTGAACCTTATCTGCTTCTGAGCCAAAAAAAATAGACGTAAGAATTTGGCATTGTCTAAGCATTATCCGCTCCTCCATCTTCCTTCAGCCAGTGCAGACCCTCTTCAGATGCATGCTCTTGTCCAGACATGTCCAAGACCACCATAGCCTTGTTTATATAGGTCAAGCACAAGGCACATCCTAACATACCAAGCCTTGAAACAACAGGTTAAATTCTTCCACGTAAACACACCCACCTATACGAACAACCCGGGTTGAATAATCAGAAGCTTCTTTTTACACTGAATGACAACTTCACCACACATGCTGTTTACACATCAAACAAAAATGACCACACAGAATAATTAAACAGATGCATATTTATTTATACCTACATTTATTTATACCTACATTGGGCTTGAAAATATACATAACAAGCCTATAGCATGCCACCCCCAACCCCTCAACAACTCAATATAAGTAAGACTTCCAGTATGAAAATATTTTCACTTCTGCTACAACACACTTGCCTTCAAAAAGACTTGGTTGTGATGGTCACTGAAATAGAACTAACACGCTGGCATTCATGCTCAAGCTACCTGTTTGCCCTGTAATACCAGACATATATATCAACTTTGCATACTGGTTCTCCAAGAGTAAATACAGTTGATTGTTATACAATATAGCAACGTAATAATGATTTGATGAAAAAGAGAACAATATATGTTGCACAGTAGCCCAGAGTAAGTAGGAAATAACTGCTACACTCAGGTAGCTCTAATGTTATAGATATATCAGTTCTGTGCTTCAGGAACACTATCATATTACAATTAAATAAAACAAGTGACATTTTGTGCCAGTGGTGCAGAATAGAAGTTCTGCTTCATAACTTTATAATGCATCAAAGCTGTTTCTTTTAAAGATATCAAATACTGTTTGTGTGTGCATAGATGTAAATAAGATTCAGATGCAGACTGAGCACAACCAAGTGTGTAATGCACCAGACTTTCTTCCTCCTGAAGAGCAAGAACATTGGAATCTCCTCTCCCCAGCTTTTTGAAATCAGAATCACTTGCAATATTTCTTAAAAGATAAAATACGTATTTATTGCACTTTACAGGAAAATTTACTGAGGAGATATTGACAGGACAATAGTATCCTGTCCATTAGAAATAAATACTTTGCATATTAACCAATACTGAAACATCACCTTCCAACACCTATATGGAATGGAAAGATTGCAACTGTAGCAGGTTCTTTGCAGTCTCAAATTTACTAGAGTGATCCAACTTCATGAGCAGTAGTACCAAAAGGATTTCTGTAGTATTTTAGATTCCAGAGCAAAAAGTCAAAGCAAAATGAAGAAGCAAAATGTAAAACCCAACATGCATACGGTGCAGTCGTAAACTAAGAAAGACAGGTTTTAAAGCATGTGTGAAGGAAATAAGTCAGAAAGTCAATGGCAGACGCTGAAAGCCCATAAGAGTCTAGATAACTACCTCACCTTAACCTGAAATGTTCAGCAGACAAACTTGGCAAAGCTTTGTTTTGATGAACCTTCTTTAATGGACTGCAGTTAATATCAGAGCTCAGTTTACAAGGCACATCATTCTGCTGAATGTTTATGTGGGGTACAGCTTTATCCACCCTGAAGTACATGGTTTTAATACATTAACCTTCCCTCATTATTCTGAGATATTAAAAAAAGGATTAGAATTTATTTAAATACCATGTTTCCCTATTAGAGGAATGTTTTTGCTAATGTTGTCATACCAGCTCTATCCACACCACATTCTGGATATCAGCTTATACATTTCCAAACCTCACTACAGCTGACTAGTATAGGAGTAAATACAGAAACATTTACCACATGTAATTCAAAGATTGTTGAGATGACACTTCTTTTAAAAAGCTGCATTTATTTTGAGCATAAAAAACAAATCTGATTCACTTTGAATTGAAACATTTAATGGTATTTATTAGATTAACCACAGATTTACAATGCTACAAATATCTTCTAACAGTGATATTTTGCAAGCTAGAGCAACTTAGAAATTTCCATCTGGACAAACATTGTAGTGAACCAAGACCAGCTTATTGGGTATTTGTTAACAAATAAGTGAACTTTGTTAACTATTCCAAGCTTGGATTTCATAGAGGGAAGGTGCAAACACCCAAACCTTCCAGAATCTTCCTCTTCCCACGTCCTCTACAAATGCGAACCCCTTATCACCCTTATTCCCATTCTTCCTTGGGCTTCTTGCCACTGTTTCCTTTATCTTCAATCACATTTATGTTCCTCATCATCTCCCTTTTCCATATTTGTTTTTCCCTTCAGATCCCATTCCTGTTTTCCTGTTTTATTCTGTTCAAACAAGCTCTTTCGGCATGTTGTATGGGCATAAGTGGAGCAATGAGAGCACAGAAGTCTGCTCTTGCTTTCAATCCTTATACCTGACAGCAATGTGGAGCTACAAAACTGCATGAAATCCTCCTTAGCTTTCACGTATCCAAAGCACATTGAATCCTCTGAAAACTAAAATGGGAGCCTTTTTCTTAAATCTGTAATTGGAAAACATTTTTCTTAAATCTCTGCTGAAACTTTGCGAATATTTTTTCAAGGGTTTATAGCCCGTCCAACTAGAAACAGTGTCTCCTTCGACAGTTAATGTCTTATGAAAGAAAAAAAGGCAGTTGATAAGAAAAAGAATATGACTATAATGAATACCAATTCTCTATCAATTATCTCCAAGTATGAAAATCATGAACGTCAAAGTTAAATCCGATTTACTGCATACTGGTGGCAGAATGTTTCAGTGAAAATACTGCAGGAAGTTTTTAACATGTGCATCGCAATGTATATAAAATAAACACACTGGATTGGCCATCTTAAAATGATTTTAAGTGATAAACTTGCCTACATTTAAAGGCACAAAGCCCAGAACGCACTGTTAGCTGAAAGCATACTTGAAAGAAGCCAATACCCTGTGATAATGGGGGAAATTGCTTTAAACTTAAGAAGAAAGGGATTAAACTAAAAGAGGGGAGATTTAGATTAGAGGATAGGGGGAAATTCTTCACTCAGAGGGTGGTGAGGCACTGGCACAGGTTGCCCAGAGAGGCTGCCCCACCCCTGGAGGTGTTCAAGGCCAGGGTGGATGGGGCTTTGGGCAGCCTGGTCTGGTGGGAGGTGTCCCTGCCCATGGCAGGGGTGTTCAAACTAGGTGACCTTTAAGGTCCCTTCCAACCCAAGCCGTTCTATGATTCTGTGTTTTATGATTATCTAATTTTTAGAGATAGTGCTATAACAGATAGTTAGCAATAGCAAATATGCACCTGAAACGTGATATAAAACAGAGATCTGACTGAATTTAAGGGAATAAAATACCCAGTGTATGTGCATATTTGTTCCACTCAGAATGCCTGTACCTCAAACCAAATGAAGCAGTGCTTTAATGGCCTAATACACCCAACTTCAAGTAGCTTTAACTGCCTCTGTTCTCTTAACTCCATCAGTATCACACTATTAAAACTATCCATAGTACTGACACAACTAGTCACTTTTTTTTCCTGAGACAAGTATACTCCAATATATTATCCTTGTAGTAAGTACTTTATAATTGCTGTAATGCTTCAGCAAGAAACTTGAAAAGAAACAGGGCAAGTTTACACTGCACATCTTATCTCCTCAAAAGAGAAATGTAATTAAGAAAAACTTCTGTCAAATTATATTTTGAAAGACTATATATACATGACATGCCTCAGTGTAATGAACTTGACAGTCTGATATCTAGCAGGGTTTTGACTTTTTTTTTTTTTTTGCATATGCCCCAGAAGGAGTGCAAAAAATCTGGATGAGGAAAAAAGTATGACATGGTGATTCTCACAAGTGGCAATGATATTCCTGAAGGACTTTGGCTCTTAAACTTACCCTGGAGGTTTGCATCTAAGACTCACCACAGAATTTCACAGGCAATTTTTCCATTTAAAAATTGAAAATCAAATTTTTTGCTATCCATTAACCATTACATGCTATCTGTAAGTACCCTTTAAAGCCAAACATGGGTGCTTTAGAAATTGAAAAATGGATATGGCCAACTGGACATTGAAAGGAATGCACATAAAT